TTTACGGAGGAAGCGACTGTTGCTTCGTGTTACCCTATTGCTTCCATAGACTCGCACACGTTATTGCCGGCTGCCGAGTATCTCCGCGATCTTCCCTGGTTCCACCGACGAGTTTAAGGGCCATCTTGATTCTGGATCTGAACAGAATCGCCACTTTGTAATACCCGAAGTTGGCGACATTGTTCATTCTATAAGCGCTCATTCAATACGCAGATATTAATTAACTCCAATTTCTACTCTACATGCCCCCTCCCTCCTCTGACCACAAGACGGATTGACGTGGTCAGTGGAATTTTTGTTCCAGAATATGTGCGCCATTATCCTCGAATTTGTACGGATAGAGTTCGATGTGCTCACGTGTTTAAACGTGGGCGTTGACTTGGGTCTGTTGTCGTCCGATATTAGTGTTCTCCAATATTATTTTGTATTGGGCTTGCTTTATCCGCGGTGTCGTCAATTTCCATATCTCCTGGTTCATTACACGCGGTATTTGATTTATGTTGTACGTTGTGCAATAAGGGATCATAGTCCGTGTCTAAATACCATAGAGGATTCCCCAGGTCGCTGCGGCCGGACACTAGGACCTGCAGAGATATTATACGCTTCTGGCCTTCCTTAGATGTGATTAATCTATTTTCCGTGTTGCTATCTCGAACCGGCTGTAAATCGGGGTGACATGAAGTCGAAAGACCTGCTACCTTGCTAGATTGATATGGAACGTCAATAACTGGGTGGATCTTACGGAGGAAGCGAAGCTTACGTAGAATTACCCGATTGCTTCCATCCACCTGCAAATGATACTGCCGGGTACTGAGTATCTCCGCGAATCTCCCTGTTTTCGTCCACCGGCGAGGGTAAGCGCCATCTTGATTCTGGATCTGAACAGCATCGCCAATTTGTAATTGTCGAAGTTGGCGACAATGTTCATTGTAAAAATGTCCGTTCCGCATGTGCCTTTTAGGCATTGCTGCCTCTCTCAGTTCACCAGTTTCTCTCCACTGTTTACATATCTGGTATTTGACCCGTAAAGCAGAGAGATGGTCTTCGATAACAAGATCCTATAACATCATAGTAAGATCATGAATTAGCCGGCCACAGCTCGTCGTGTTGTCTGCTAGTTCTGCCCGGCCATTGCTTTATGGGTAGTAAGCCGAATAAGTACGTTTACGTACTCCTCAATTCTTAAAGAACAAGTCGTATCAAAAGGAATCAAAATCCCACGTCGGAAGAAAGTTCTTCAGGCGCACCATATGTGCAGAACCAAGTTCTCAGGGTGTTGCATACTACCCTGGCATTCCCAGATAACATTAAGGCCACTTCCACCCAATCTGCTTACTTCTACTGGATAAGTCGAAAAATTTAATCACGGTTTGTTGGAATTGGAATTCGGGGATAGACAGCAGCATCAAGAGCTCCTTAGGCTGTGACATGTCTGGCATTGGGCTCTAGACAATCCGGACGCTAGCACTAAACCAGGCCAAAATAGGAGTTGTCTCGCATATTCTAGCATGCCATTTACCCCCTGGTGTGCAGAATGTAGTGATGCAAGTACTTCTGCACGAAGTTGTAGAAGTGTAAGGATTTTATTCTCCTTGATAAGTACTCCTTCGACGCAGTACAATTCCACGCGCATGGACCAAAACTGAGAGATCACCGACGGAATGTCATGGCGAGATTTAGGGAAACAAGTCCGTATATATTCCGTCAGAGTTCAACATTCTTCTTCAATGTCTGTCACGTTGACAATCCTATCCTATGTGATATCTCTCACCCTAGGGTCATCCATATGAATCCAGAGTTAATTGCAATGTCGATTGGTTTGATTGCATCATTTATAGTCGCCTCGTAGAATGACCGTCTACGCTTCTGATGTATAAGCGCAGATGATATTTGGGGACGTTTAATCGGGTCCTCTGGTGGATTTCATACAGGGTACCGGGTGGTGCAGTCAGGTGAAACATTAAGTTTTCCAGGGCGATGCTTAATGCTGAATTTGTACCTTAGTATACGTTCCGCGATGCTTAATGCTGAATTTGTACCTTAGTATACGTTCCGTGAAATGAAAGAAACGCGGCTTCTTTATGTTTTCAAGGGCGGCCCGATCTGAGAAATTTTTATGAATCGTTAATGGTCGGTAGTCAGGAGAAACCCTGACCCTCCCAATATAAACATCCGACATGATTATTGCACATAGACAGGATCCAGAGCTTCACCTTCGAGCGGTGAATAACGGGATTCAGCGTCGTTGGTAAAGCGAGATCCGGCCACAAATATTTTCCAGTGACTATCAACGCAATCTGGATTTGCTTCGCAATTATTAACAATATTAATATTAACAGTATTAACAATGATTAACGGCTTAATGTACTGACGTGCAATACCATTTTAGCTACGAAGGAAGCGTTTGGTTAGCAACGTCGAATTACTACTTTTAAACTACAAATTTCCCATGATTTCCATGGAACGTTCATATCTGCTCGTAAACAAATGACGTAGCTAAAATGGTATAGCAAGGTTATAAAACGATTCCGTGTAGAATACAGATTCGATTCGTGTCGGAGGACGCATATTTTCTATGAAAATTTCTCGGACATTCAGGTCGGTAAATTTTGTTAAAACTGTTTATTATAAACAGAGCATTTACTTAAATATTTGTGTCTATATATCAGGTCATCCCATAATTTCTGTCCGAATTTTAACTTTTTGTTAAAATGAACGAAATTTAAAGAGTATTTTATAATGTCTAATGGAGCTGAACATTATTTAGATGCATTTAAACTGATCAAATAAAATTAAATTTTGTTTGATTAAAACCCTGCTAACATGGAAGTACCCAAGAATCATTTGAGGCACATAATGCTTTATGAGTTCAAGAAAGGAAACTCAGCAGCCGAAGCGGCTAGAAACATTCACTCAATTCATGGAGAGGAATGTGTGAATGAAAGAACTTGCAGAAGATGGTTTACAAAATTCAGAGGTGGAGATTTCACCCTTGAAGATGAAGATCGAACCGGATGTCCAGTTGAGTTTGATGAAAAGCTTCTTGAAGCAGCCCTTGAAAAAAATCCTGCTTTATCAGTTGAGGAATTGGCAGTGGTTCTCAGTTCAAACCTTACAACTGTTCATCGTCATCTTCAACAACTTGGAAAAGTTCCTAAACTTGAAAAATGGGTGCCTCGTGAATTGTCTGAAAATTGTCTGAAAACAACCTCAAATCCCGAGTTGACATCTGCTCTTCTCTCCATTCTCGCCAACTTGTTTCACCCTTTTTGGATAGATTTGTGACTGGCGACGAAAAATGGGTCTTTTATAGAAATGTTAAGCATCGTAGACAGTGGCTTGGTAAAGAGAAAGGACCCCAGCCACAGCCGAAAAGGGAACTTCATGGGCAAAAGGCTCTTCTTTCAATCTGGTGGGATCGCCAAGGAATAATCCACTTTGAATTCTTACCACCTAATGCAACAATTAATGCTCAATTATACTGTCAGCAATTAGAGCGTTTGAACCAAGCTTTGTGGAAAATACCTGTTCTAGTGAATCGAAAAGAGGTGATATTTCATCTGGACAATGCGCGACCCCACACAGCAAGAATCACGTCACAAAAGATCGAAGAACTTGGTTGGGAGAAAATTCCTCATCCACCTTATTCTCCCGATCTTGCTCCATCAGACTACAATTTGTTTCGTAGCTAACAGAATCAGTTGAAAGAAACATCTTTGTAACACAGGAAGAGGTTAAAACTGACATTTGTGAGTTCTTCGAATCAAAGCCAAAAGAATTTTACAGTAATGGAATTAGTAAGATTGTTAATAGATGGAAAGAAGTCATAGATAATCAGGGAAAATACATTGTTGATTGAATCTGTAATTAAATGTAACATTTGGTCACTTGTTTTCTTTATTCAAAATTCGAACAGAACTTATGGGATGACCTGATAAATAACGTATAACAATAAAATATATTAAATGATTGTCGGATTTTGTCCTTTTCATAGTGTGTGACGTCATTTGTTTACGTTAAGTTACGCTTCGAGCAGATATGAACGGTCGCGGCAAATCATAGAAGATTGTAGTTTAAAAGCAGTAAAATCGACCTTGTTAACCAGACGACCCTCTGGGGCTAAACTGGTATAGCACGTCAGGCTATATGACAGTTCTCTGTAGGATACGGGTTAGATTTCTGCCGGAAGACACTTCAGGCCAGTAAATGCTGTTAATACTGTTTATTATAAAAACAGAGCATTTACGTCTGTAGAAATAACGTATAACAATAAAATATATTAAAATAATTGTCGGACTTTCATTTCATAATGTATACAGTATATACTCGCGTATCATGCGAACATTGAAGGCCTAATTTTGAAGCTAATTTGATTACGGTAAGTGGTTATATAGTTTAGTCAACCCCCGGTAGTACATACGCTTTTTTTAAGTCTAGTGTATGATACGACCGCCTTAAAATTAACTTCAAAATTATGTCGTATTACAAACGAGTACATACGGTAGTTTAAAAAACCCATTTTTCTTCTTTTCTTCTCATTACTCGATTTCTTGAGATCGGGGTTTGATGAGAGGGATTATTATCGGTTTGCGGTAATGTCACACACATGCCGTGAATTCTAGAGCTCATCTCGTTTGACGTCACAGAACAGCAACTTAATAACAATATTCTGTAAGATAAGAATGAAAACAGTTCATGTATTTATTAATGCTATAAAAACGATCGTAAAGAGGTGAATTGAAATCGGGTGTTCTAACCCCACGTCACGTGAGCTCAGTTATTAACAATTATAAATCCCAGTGTGAAGCTGAATATATAGACAGAACTAATCAGAGGTTGGAGATGAGAATAAATAAGATCATTCCAGCTAAGATCCAACGTAGCTGATGCGATAATTTGCGTGTGTTGCTTAATAATTCATGTTTAGCGATTACCGAACCCTTAATAAATAATCCGCTGGGTGTTATGTCGTTTCTCAGGTTTTTTTTTACCATAATGGTTTACGGCCACATCATGTCGAAACCTCGGTTCCCGTACGATCACCGAAGATAAGGAATGTTGAATTTGATCATTACCTAGATGGGTGACCGCTCGCGAATACCATGTGCTATAAGTTTCGATGTGCATGCCGTATAATGGATAATGGCTCGGAATTGTTAATCAAAGAGTCGAGTTCCAATTCCAGTTGTCTTCTTTATATTACCTTACGCGCAAATACTCTTGGGAAACGTATGAATCCACCTCTTCTCCCCCAGCGATGTGTTAATTTGTGAGACTTGTATCACTAAATCATTATTATCTCCCCCCCACTCCCCAAGAAATTCCTACAATCTAAAAATGTTTCCTGGCTTTAAATAACCCCCAATGGACTGATAATCCGTAGAAAAACGAATAAATCTACTACTTTTACAATATGCAGCAGAGTGCACTCCGATTACCATTTTTACATTATTCACACTGGTATCCTCATTTTCATTGCCATATTCACAACGTTTCAGCTGTTCAAGTCTCCGGCCTACTTCAGGTGATTGGAATTTCGAAACTAACCCATTATTTCGTCCAGCGGGGGTAGATTGTTCTAGTTCTACGTGCCATGCCTCTTCCAGATGTCTCAGTTATTTCCATTTAACTCAACTGCCAAAGTTTTGGTTCACCACTGTTGTGGTCTGTTATTCAACTCATAATTCTTTGCGTCTAATCACTCGATCTAACAAACGTCTTTTTTCCACTGGGCTATGTGTCTTTGAGTCAAGACAGACATTTGGAAATATTAGAAGTATTACACATTAAGTCTAGGCAGCCTTCGCTCTGTAAACATAAGGAATGACTGGTGAGGCTTAATATAATCAGTGTGATTTTTAAATTCTCTGCTGATTCAATAGTTCTTCTTAATTTATGTTTTTTTTTTTTAAATCTTATGGAAACAATTTACATATTTGTCTTCGATTGGCCCCGAAGAGCGAGGATCGAAATTCGGTCACCCTATTTTATTTTTTTTTTTGTTATTTTTTTATTTGTTGTTGTTATTGTTTGGATTCACTATAGTGATTTATTTTCTTTTCTTTGCTTTCTTTTTTTCTTTTTCTTTTATTAATCATTTCACCCCAAGCAAACAATAAAGCCACTAAGACACAAAGAGTTACTTGTAGGGTGAAAGAAAACAAGAAGACTGTAGAAGAAGATACCTTATCCTAAACAGGGGATAAGGGAAAACTCCTGTTCAAAAGACGATCAACGTCTGTTAACCGGGCGATAGGCGAACCTACCTGCTATTTCTTCCTCCTGCATACTGTTTATTATTATATATACAATTTTAATATACTCGTATTTATACTATTAATAAACTTTTGTATATCCCCCGTAGACTGCTTATATATTTGTACGTTTGGAAGCTTGTAAAGTATAAAGAACCAAAATAAAAACATCTCTCGCGTACATTTAACAAAAGTGATATCCGTCAATAAATACGGCTTAAACTTGAAAGATGCCAATGTTACTTTAATAATCTTTATGTCATTTCTTAATAAAAAGAATTGGAGAAACTTTTGATAGAAAAAATTACTCATACCCGATGGCTACACACAAAAGAAATTGTGATGGCGCCCGAGATTTTAGAAATTTCAAACTCAGTCTCACTCAATCCGGACGTAGTGGCGAACTATGTCACGTGACAAAATGAACAATAACAGATCATCAGGTTTGCCCTATTTTCGTCTCCAAAGGCTCTACGCTCGGAGACTCTAGATGGAAATATAAGATAATCCGGCAACTAGAAATTTAGTAGAAGCATTTGTTGGAGAAACATCCGAATCGATTTATTTTGAGACTGTAGATAATTTTCTACTTAAATTTGTTTAAATCTAAACGGTTCTGCATATAAAGATGGACTTTGTTTTCCCTTCAGCTCCGGTGAATATAACCAGGGATTTTTGCCTTTGAAAAATCTTTCACATTGGCAGAGAAAACTTTCAATATTTGTCCTGCCGACAACTTGTACATTTTCAACTGAGGACACCGACAACAAGTTTATTCGCCGTTGTATTTTCAATGTTAAAAAAAAGTTTCAGTTGAAACTATAAATAAACTTAAACATTTTATTGACTAAATGGGCTTTTATTTAAACCGGCCTTTTATGTCGGATATCGTAATTGACCTCGGCAAGTCAACGTGTGGGCGTCCAATGGAGTAATGGATCGCGGCGCAGATTGAGGAATCGGAGAGTCAAGTTCGAATTCTAGTCGAGTTCATTACATTAATTTTCCAATGGAAAAGGTAAGAAAACATTTTTTTTCCTCTAACTATGGGTAAATAGTAAGAGAAAACGTTCTAGGAGAAGGAAAACCTATGGAAAAGTACACCGCAAGGATCTAGTGTAACTTCTCAGCAACCTTGATATATATATATATCTTTCCCGATATCAGAATAATCAAAAAACATATACTGGCAGCAAACAGCATGTATGAGCGTAGAGAATGAATTCAGCACATATACAAAAATAGAAAGGCAAGGATGTGTCTTCTCACCGGACCTATTCAACCTATACAGGGAGGCAATTCTAAGATAATTGGAAATCGTACCAGGATTCAGCATTGGCGGCCACAATCTTAACAACATAAGAAACACAAATGACACAGTACTGATAGCAGACACGGAAAAGAAATTTCAACCTCCCCTTACAGATTGCAGCGAAGGAAAGCGAGAAGAAGGGACTAAGCATAAACTACAAGAAGACAGAATGCATCGTCATCAGTAAAAGGATGATTCCGAAATACAATTTACAGGTCAGGGCCACTAAAATCAAGCAGGTACGGAAGTTTAAATATCTCGGAAGTGTTCTGACAGAGGATGGTAAGTGCGACACTGAGATCCGTAGATGTATTGGGATGGCCAAAAACACATTCCAAAAGCTAGGCAGATATTGCGAGACATGAGGATTTCTTTGGTAACAAAGAAGAAAGTACTGAGCTGTTACGTGATATCTGTCCTCCATTCCGGCATAGAATGTTGGACGGTCTCCTCAAATATGAAGAAAAGACTCGAAGCGAAAGTGATGTGGTTCTACAGAAGGATGCTGAGTATATCATGGCCTTGGAGAGGATACAAACAAGGAGGAGGCTTATATTTAACATCAGGAAGAGGCAGCTAAAGTTGCTGGAAAAATATCTGTCCATATTTCTGAGATGAAGTATTATGTACACTATTTACATTGTTCGGACTATTGTCCTCATCTTTGTCGCCATATTTATTACAACGTTTCGGCCGTTGTACGCTCCGGCCTTCTTTAGGTGGTCGAACTGAATCCTTTATTTCGCTCAATAGGGTAGACTGTTCTAGTTCCATGCGCCATGTTCTTAATGAATGTCGGTTCAATATCTGGTTAAGGCAGTGGAGAACTTGGAGAGGGGAATTAACAGGAGATAACTGATAACTGACATCCATTAAAAACATGGCACGTGGAACTAGAACAGTCTACCCGAGTGAGCGAAATAAAGGGTTCAGTTCGATATTCCAACCACCTGAAGAAGGCCGGAGCGTACAACGGCCGAAACATTGTAATAAATATGGCGACAAAGCTGAGGACAATAGTCAGAATAATGTAAAAAGTATTGCTGGGACAAGTATTGAGAAAGTAGGGCGTGGAGAATCTGATACTCACAAGTCCAATAGAGGAAAAAGAGACAAAGGAAAGCAACGCATGACATAACTGGCGGGCTTAAGCAAGTGGAATGGGGGAGGTGGCAGAGGGGCGAATATTATTGAGAGCTACAAGAGATAGGAAGAAGTGGAGAGCCATGATCTACGTTATGAAAAGACACGCCACATAAAAAGAAATAAAAGAATGTAGCACATATTATGCGTTACAAACAATCTCTTCCAGCTTATCTTGAGTAAGAGTAAGCTGATAAAACATTGTGGATCTCATGTTGATGCGCAGTCTTCAGCAAACTTGATATTTGAGCGGTTGTCCTATTCCTGATTTGGGAAGATCATTGATTATTTACAAAGCAGATCTCCAGTGTCAGGTGACCAAAGAATGAATGGTGCCAACAGTTTTTTTTTTACTGCCGAAAGGACACTTTAATTGAACATCTTTAATTGAACATCTTTAATTGAACATCTTTAATATTGTGATAGTATTGTCCTCGACAGCTGCCCAATCTCTAAAGTATTGATCATACTACATCTGGCCGACAGCGACGAATTTATTTGCAGTGACAATTCGCAGTGTGAAATAATGTTTAGACTTCTATTGTAGCTAGAAATCAACTCATTAGACTTTTCTCTTGTTTCAGTTGGCTATTATAAAGTTGACGTTTAAATCCAGATTTCCTAATTAATCTCTGGAGGTCAAGATGTTAAATGACATGACAGCTTCTTCGTCACTTTTAAGATATCCGTATATATCTCTGAGATGATGTATTAGGATTACTTGCATTATTTACATTATTCGGACAGTTGTCTTCATTTTCATTGCCATATTCACAACGTTTCAGCCGTTGTACGCGCTGGCCTTCTTCAGGTGATTGGATCTCTGAGATGAGGTATTATGATTACTTGCGTTATTTACATTATTCGGACTGTTATCCTCATTTTCATTGCCATATTCACAACGTTTCGGCCGTTGTACGCGCTGGCCCTCTTCAGGTGATTGGATCTCTGAGATGAGGTATTATGATTACTTGCGTTATTTACATTATTCGGACTGTTATCCTCATTTTCATTGCCATATTCACAACGTTTCGGCCGTTGTACGCTCCGGCCTTCTTCAGGTGATTGGATCTCTGAGATGAGGTATTATGATTACTTGCATTATTTTCATTATTCGGACTGTTATCCTCATTTTCATTGTCATATTCACAACGTTTCGGCCGTTGTACGCTCCGGCCTTCTTCAGGTGATTGGAATTTCGAACTGAACCCTTTATTTCGTACACCGGGGTATTTTTTTTTTATAGTTCTACGTCTTCAAGGATACATGCCCCAGTCGATAAAGACGTTGGTTAGATCCAGTGACTAGGCCTAAAGTGTTGTGAGTTCAATGCCATTCCAAAGCAGTGGTGAACCAAGACGTGAAGTGTCGCGTTAAATGGAAATAACGGAAGAGGCATGGC